TGCTCGGTCTGGAGCATGGCGGATGCGATGGCCATCTCGACCTCTCTCACCCAGAGCATGCGATTCTCTACATCCTTCCCCGCAGATACCTTAATGAGCGGCTTAGGGCGGGGAAAATGATCCGTCACCGACGGTGGCGTCATATATTGAAATATAGGCGGCTCTGCCGCAAATTTCTCAAAAGAAATTTTGAACAGAAGAGTGTAATTGCCTAGAGATAGCTCTACATAGTAGGCTGGTTTAACAACCGTAATCGTATAATCGAGCGACATTGACTCACAAACAAGTCTGCTAAGGAGGTTCTTGACCGCCTATAACGTTATTTTTGACAACTAACAACCCTTAGTTGTGATCACCAGCTCTCTTGAGAGCAGGCGGATGAAATTTATTGACTTCGATCTCCACTTAAAGCCCTTCCCCATTGCTTGCAACTCCACCAAAACGAAGCATTTAACCCGACAAAACAGTCGACCTATCGGTGAAGAAGTGGAGGTGGGTCGAATAAAATTTTCGCATTGTTAAATCGCTGATATACAGTATGGGCTCTCGACCTTACTAGGCGTTTTAATTGCGTTAGATCGGTAAATTTTAGCTATTTTCGGATGAGAAGACATTTGTTAGAGTTTGCTTTTCGAAATGTAGTCTTTGGGACACGCCACTTCCGCTTCCGTCGCTCTTCATTCCGGATACACAATAGCAGTTGGTCTCAAACTCGTAGCCAAAACGCTATTTGTCATCGTGGAAATCGTTTGCGTAGGCCTTCCTTTGATAGAATTTTCGCGCTGGCGAGGCCGAGAGGGTCGTCGCTTTAAAGTTTATATTTTTATGAAGAGTATAAGGGGGAAAAGAAAGTACTATGAATGACTTGTTGTAAATGTAATTTAATGAAACATTATACGATGGCACTCTATTCTCTGCACTCGGAACGAAATCTTTTGCAGTGATAGTACTGCAAGAGAGACCTTTGTGAAATATGTGACCTGCTATCCTCATTCAACGCATTAAGAAGAATTTTATAAATATGAAAGGAAAAACGGATGAATTCAATTTCAATTTAAGCTGAATTTGTAAATCTATATGGTTGCATTGACTAGCACAGACTTTATACATCAAAACTGCTCCTATACAAGGTACGCGGCGAACCACGTGCACTTGGCAGAACCCGTTGTTTATCCGACAACTGAATCTTAAAATATATGTGTGTCCTTGGGGATGAAATACTAATCACAGTGTAATCTAATACGGAGCGACACGACACGCTTGATATTCCCCGGGTAGGCAACTGGCGATCAAAGTATTGGAAGGGATTATCGTTCGCCTGATGGCGCCCAACAGCTACAAAAACGTGCTGCTAAGACACACCTGGCAAAATCTCAACCTGTTTTAAATACGGAAAGCTGAGATTGCCATAACTCAGTCTAGCCTTAAACCGAGAATCCGCACGCCACGCTGGCGATCTCTGGACTAGAAGGCCGCGCGCGAAATTTGAACTAACGTACTGCTATCTCAATAGGCAAAGCGTTCCTAACACGATAATTACTCTAGCAGCACTCATCGTGAGTGTTTGCACCGCCTAATCAAGCGTGCAACGCGCAGTCAACGACCATTGCAAGCTGGCAAAACTATAATGACTCGATAAAAATATAATGAATCGGTTGGTTTTCGCGAAGAGTTGATAGAAGGATTGTGACTGCTTTTCTTCCAAAAACATAAGTGATTACCATCTTCATTACGGATCTCCGACCTAGTTTTGGCTTACCCTGATTCCTTTTGCGTGCGCCAATTTTATGTAAAAGGCTCGAGTTGGAGATCCCATTAAAAGCTGAACACGACGTTCGATCTATCTTTACCTTACTATTACGGAGAAGATCACTGAAAATCGCAGGGCAGTCGATAAAGCTGTCCCGGGATTTTCTGGAACTTAATAGTTTGACACGAGACGGGTGCTTGCCAATTATTCCTGACTTGCAGTCCAGAGATGTCCGATACCTTCATAACTTGAAGACCTTAGGGACTTGACCTCGGCCATTTTGCCGCTATGAGAATTTACTTTCCATGAGTTCTTAAATGAAAGGTTTTCATTAGATATTGATTTCAGCCCTAGTGAGCTTGTCGGTCACTATCCGCTCGACGTGAGGTTGGTCTGCCCCTCGCTTGTCGACAGAGCCGGCAGATGACGTCAGGGTGTTTGAGAGTTACATCGTCTTTTATCAATGCTTCTCAGCCAAATGACTCATGGGAGCGGGATCACGGAACGGGTTGATATGCCCATTAAAAAACGCATGATGTGTTTTGTCTGTATTTGGGATATTGAGAGTCAAAATCATTTCTTATAGCCGTGACGGTAAAATGTAATTAGCGAGGACAAAGTTGCAGACACTCCGAGAGTAAGAAATCGAATATCATCTTGGTGAATTGATTTTCTGTTAGTTCACAATTCAAGTATATAACGATTCAGGAAGCTACTAATAATAAAGCATGTTTCTATCCAGGAACATTTCACCATGTCTTTTGCTTCTCGTCACTTTCATTACATCCTGACACCTCATCATAGTACTTAAATATGTTACTCCTGAGCTTTGCTCTTTAATCAAAAGACAACACTGTACGTTCACGTTTACCAAGCTAGTCTTTCAACGGTTCCAGATCAGTCGTGCGAAAGGAACATAATACGAAGATGACAAATAATTTTGAAAGGGGAAGTTAAAAAATATATTATTGACGATGGGAACGGAATTGTGCCAGGAAGACTGGACAGTATACTGGAAGGGGCTGTGGCATGGCATGCTGGTATTGCTGCCTGCACTTGCCTACCTCTTCCGTAAGTGGAAGGTGGCAGTAAAGCGAATGTCTGTGGAACAGCCGGTGCCAGGGTAAATAATCCAGTCTTGCGCAATGCTAACATTTCTGACTATGTCAATACTTTTCATGACTGCTCACAGATCGTACGTACCTGTAAATCTCATGCTTTTTGCTAGACGATGTCGATAACAAGACCGCATTTGCATGGTGTTTTAGGTCGTTTATGAATGAGCTTTTCGCGTTTGAGGTGGTACTGGTCGCTGGTGCGGAGCTGAAGGCAGTTCGCGATCAACTCGGGTCTGTTGAGAAGGCGACTCCCGCTGATGATGAAAAGGTTAAAGCGTTGAAAGAGCGCGCTGTAGACGTTGCCACCGTGCTACAGAGAAAATTGGAGACCATCACGCCCATAGTGTCATTTCTACTGGAGGAGACTGTAGTTGTGATTAAGAGCTACAGGACCGATTTAGATTTTGACGTTAAAAAGAAAAATTAAATACACACGTCAATTTCAAGAAGTTTGATTTTTCATGCATTAAGTCACCTAGGGTCGACACCTACGCACCGTAGCGTCACCCCAACGCTTTCCCCAAGCGAAAAATACAAACGAGAGAGGTCGACACCGTCGCACCGTAGCGTTTAAATACACGCTTTCCTCACCCGCTACGTCAGACTCCTTTCCATAATCGTCTTTTGACAAAACACATTTCACAAAAGGACGATCCCCTAGCACCGCACTTATTTCTTAATCGCAGTCTTGGCCAAGAAGTCGGTATGCTCCTGGTAAGGGGACAAGCCACAGGTGTGGTGCTCCCAGAGGTCTGGCGTCAGATACGCGTACGTGGCACGCAAAGCGTAGAACGTAGCCTTCACAAAGTTACCGAGGGTACGAGTGTGACCACGCGCCGAAGTGTAGCAATCTTCAATACCAGCCATACCTAATAGCTTTTTGGGGACGGGGGCAGCACATAGACCAGTACCGCGAGGAGCGGGGATCAAACGTACGCGAACAGAGCCGCATTTGCCAGTCACTTTATTAGGCACGGTGTGGGGGGCTCCGACCATACGACCCCAGTAGCCACGACGTACCGGAACCAGCGAGATTTTGGCCAGGATAATAGCACCGCGAATAGCAGTAGCCACCTCTTTAGCGCACTTAACACCGAGTCCAATGTGTCCGTTACAGTCGCCCACAGCCACGAAAGCTTTAAAACGCGTACGCTGACCAGCCGTAGTCTGCTTTTGCACAGGCATGATCTTCATCACCTCATCCTTGAGCGAGGACTCCAAGAAGTAGTTGACAATCTCACACTCCTTAATTGGCAGAGAGAAAAGATAGATCTCCTCAAGGGAGCTGATTTTGCCCTCTTTCACCAGGCGTCCAAGCTTCGTGACAGGCACCCACTCCTTGGACTCTTCGCGTCCACGACCACGACCACGGCCGCGACCACGACCTCCACGGCCTCCGCGACCACGTCCAAATCCTCCGCGTTCTCCACCAGACGTAGTAGCGGCGTCAGCCATTATTGTAATTCTGTTCTTTTGGGGCGAAATGAACGAATACGTTCTAAGAAAACTGCATTGCTCAGAAGCGATCTTCTCCTCCACTCACTGTGAAGAGTAGCGCGAAGGTAACAGAGTATGTCGCTTGAAACCAACATGTACGATCAAATCTAATTCCTGCTATCTTTGATATACAATTGCTTTTAGAGCAATACTATCTCCAAAATAGTACAGTCTTAGCATTTAATGATAACATCATATTAATGGCAAGTGAGAACAAAATGCACAATACATGGGCACACTTGTGACATCGTAGGGCTCGCAAAAGGGGGCGATCGATAAGAAGCAAGCAGACGCGATGCTGTCAACGACGTCGACACAACACCTGCATCGCAAGGCCACTTCGGCGTTGTATAAACCGCTCCATCTACGGCACTCACATTTGCTGCAACAGGTAAGTCGCCATGTTTCTGGTTGTCGGAAGCCACTACAGATTGCTTATCTGCTTTATTATGTCCATCTAGCGAGTAGGGCAATCTTTCCAACGGAAGGGAATGAGTGAACTGCTGCAATTGAGACAGCATAATCTGGCAATGAAGCGTCAGATGCTACAATCCTCGCGTTTGCATACGTTCTGTACGTGACGGGTGAATGTTATTATGTATGTATAATAGCTCATACAATGGCTCTATTTATACAGTGCGAAGAAGTAACTCAAACAAGTCACTAAGCTGGGCGGTGTGGCTTCATGAGAATATTCCAAAGGGTTTTGGACGCTTTTATCCTAAAAATGGCTCTGGTGGCACGTTCGGAGGCCCACCTAAGACGGCTCCTACATTAGGCGAGAAAGGAGCTTCTGACGTAAAAAAATTGAGCTCCAAAATAGCCGAAAAAAAGCAGGGCGGACGTGGAAGTTCGTCCAGAGGTGGACGTGGCCCCAACGGCAAGGATGGTATGGCTTACCTGGTCCCGCTAGCAGTAGCTGCATTGTTCCTGTCCGACATGGCTTCAATCGACAAACCCATGCAAGAAATTACATACCAGGAGTTCCGCAATAACTTTTTGGAGTTAGGGCGCGTTGAAAAGCTTGTTGTGGTGAACAAAAAATACGTTAAAGTGTTCTTAAACGATTTATCGGGAGCAAGTCAGCCAGCGGGTATGAACTCAGGCCATGGAACCGCCAATGAGTACGTTGGCTGGCATGATAATCACGCTAAGGAGCACCATGAGCATAATTTTAGTGTTGAGTCAAACCGCCAGCCGAGCAGCAGCGGTCGAGGAGCTCAATCGCCTGGCTTTGGCTCGGGTGGTGAAGCTACTGGGCGATCAAACACCAATTCGACTTATTACTTTAATATTGGAAGTGTCGAGAGCTTTGAAAGACAACTTGAGCACGCGCAACACCAGATGGGTATTCGTCCTCATGACTACATTCCAGTGCAGTACAGCAGTGAAATTAGCTTCACAGCGGAGTTACTGAAGTTCTTACCGACGATTCTTCTTATTGGCTTCCTGCTGATGACAGTGCGTGGCGTTGGTGGTGGTGCAGGCGGCGGTGGTGGCGGTCTAGGTAACATTTTTAAAGTTGGCAAGAGTCCGGCCAAAAAAATCACCAAGGAAGACATTAAGATTTCTTTTAAAGATGTGGCTGGTGTGGATGAAGCCAAGAAAGAGATCATGGAATTTGTGGATTTTTTACGCAATCAGAAGCGCTTTACAGAGCTTGGCGCAAAGATACCGAAGGGCGCCTTGCTGGTTGGGCCCCCTGGTACGGGTAAGACGCTGTTGGCGAAAGCGACGGCGGGCGAAGCGAGCGTGCCATTCTTCAGTATTTCCGGCTCAGATTTTATTGAAATGTTTGTCGGTGTCGGTCCATCACGTGTGCGTGATCTTTTCAAGGAAGCTCGCGCTAATGCTCCGTGCATAGTATTTATTGATGAAATCGATGCAGTGGCGCGATCACGTAGCAAGGGAAACTTCTCAGGAGGCAACGATGAGCGCGAAAATACACTTAACCAGCTACTGGTAGAGATGGATGGGTTTAACTCTAGTGAAGGTGTAGTGGTCCTGGCTGGTACAAATCGTGCCGATATACTTGACAAGGCTATCTTACGTCCTGGTCGGTTCGACCGGCAGATCACCGTGGACGTTCCGGATATCAAGGGCCGTCGCGAAATTTTCAAGGTGCATCTTAAAGACTTAGCGCTGGATGGCAACGTGGACGACTTTGCCCGCCGGATGGCTGCGCTGACGCCTGGTTTTGCTGGTGCAGAAATTGCCAACATATGTAATGAAGCTGCTATCGTGGCTGCGCGACGGAATGGTTTGAAGATTACATTTAAGGACTTTGAGCAGGCCACAGACCGTGTGATTGGTGGGCTGGAGACAAATCGGATCATGTCTCCAGAAGAGAAGAAGACGGTGGCATATCACGAAGCTGGGCATGCTGTAGCCGGCTGGTTTTTGGAGCACGCTGACCCGCTGTTAAAGGTGACAATTGTGCCACGTGGCAAAGGCTCCCTTGGTTACGCACAGTACCTTCCGAAGGAAGTGGCTTTACATAGTCGTGAGGCTTTAATAGACATGATGTGTATGGCACTTGGTGGTCGTGCATCGGAGTTTGTAAACTTTGACGGGCGAATCACGACCGGCGCTTCTGACGATCTCCGCCGTGTGACTCAGATCGCTTACTCGATGGTGCAATTGTACGGTATGAACGATCGTCTTGGGCAACTTTCTTTCCCGAAAGAAGAAGGGGCTTACCCGGACAAGCTTTATAGTGACAAGACGTCCGAGGTTATTGATGACGAGGTACAAAAGATCGTGCATAATGCGTACGAGCGGACCAAGCAGCTTCTGAGCGAGAAGCAAAAGCAGCTGCACGAATTAGCAGAGGAGCTGCTGCATAACGAGACCATCAACCATGGAGACATTGTGCGTGTCCTGGGTCCTCGTCCGTTTGGCGGCAACAAGACATATACCGAATTCGTGGAGGAATCGTGGAAAAATGCTGACAATTATGAAGCAGAGAAAGCCAAAGCGGCAAAGGCAACGGATGAAGCGACAAGTAGTGTAGAGGACAACCAGCTGGAAAACGACAATGACCCAAAGTAGTTGGCCAGCTATGGCACCCATAAAGGCAGTTTTTCGCAAATAAATGACTGAACAAAATACAATTGTTTTATACATGATTTGATCGCGTTGCTGTCCGCTATCGCATGGGCACCGGCCTTTGTACTGTTCACACGATGCGCCATCGCTTAGTTATATACACTCGTGAGGAAATATTGTCGTCATCTCACTCTCGTCTCCTTGAAGCCTTACTCATATAAATTCATTATGAAAAATAGCAATTGCAATGATTGCTTGAAACTTTCTCTTTTAAGGGCTCACATTAAGGTCCGGTGCTGGAAACCGTTTCGGAATGTAAAGGCGCGCTCAAGGTGCGATGACAGATTAAGTGTACGAATCACTTCTTTTAACGGCATGCGCGTCACGTCAATGTCATTGATAGCGCACAACACACTGCCTTTTTTGATAAGGCCTGAATTCTCGATAGTGCTCTTCCTACCGTCATATTTGCGGACAAATCCGTCCACAATTGGAATGTTTGAGTCGTCGCTATTTCCTTGCAGCACAAGGCCACATGGCCCAGGCGGCACGATGATGGTGATAAGTGGATTGGCGCGTTCTTTCCAGTCTTCTTCAGTTACGGACTCAACGTCATCGTCCTCGCCTTGTTCTGGAAACAAATAAGAGTTCCAAGCGCGTTTATTTCGTCTTTTTACTGCATCTTCATCACTGATTGAGTCTCCACTGCTCTCAGTGCTGCTGCCCACTGCCAAGCGGGTGGTCAGTAAGTGAAATTTGCTACGAGGACTGAGTGGCGGCTCTTGCAATTTCGCGCGAAGAGCGTTCGCATAATCTTGTGCACTTCCATATCGACAACCGTACGTGTCACCACCTCCCTCATCGTGCGCATCATCTGACAGTGCGTATGTCTCGCCACGACTTAAAAGTAGAGAACTGTGCTGTAAATGCTGATACGTGGGTGGATTAGCGCCATATTTGCCCGCAGCGGCAGCCATACGACCATTTTTAGGATGACCTAAATGGTCGTAGCCGAGGCCATTGAGACCTTGATCTTCTGGGCCACCGCACGAACACAGCGCTGCACCCATTTCTAAGTCTCTCTTGGATCTCGCTTTGGTTTATGAAGTCGAATTTTTAAGAAATAACATGTACTGTATCACTTAGTATTTTCATTGCGATTTTTCAATATCATTAATGGGTTCAAGCAGTTATGTCTACAGTATTTGCAGCAAATGGCTTGAAGCGCCGAAAGTTCATGTCGACGCCACCATACTGACAATAAAGGTACAGTGAATTATGCAGTAAATTGCGTCGCATTGCCAACTGCGGATACAGCTTGCAAACGAGGCATGCTAAATTTCTTGGATTAGCGCAGAAAAGACTTCAAGCTTAGAAGCTTGGTATCCCGTGGCTTATTAATTTCCAGGTTTCCGACAATAGAAAGCCTTGAGAAAGCTATTACCGGTAATACGACATCGAAATTGCCAGCAAAAAACTAAACTTCTTGTGTTCCCAGCGTACCCCCTTTCTCGTAATGATGCCGTAAAATTTTCGCATAGAAGGCAAACTTTCTTTTTTTAGTAACTTGGATAATCAGTCTACTAAGCCGGTTTGAGTACGTTCAGAAGACCTCTGATAATACTGTAGCTGCATATAATTTAATTACCTTACAAGGTGCTCATTTCTATGACGCTCGCAAGTTTTTTTTTAATTTCTAGGCTTCTAAAGCCTATTTTAGATACTTGCCTTTTGCACAAGAAAGCTACCAGCTTAAACCTCGATTTTTGCCATAGCCGAAAACCTCGAATCTTGTAGTTTGACTGTATTCTTAAGATTATAACTTCACACCACCACAGAGAACAGTAACATTTTGGAAAACTAAAGTAGCAGATCGGCGGTTCAACGCTCGACCAGATGAGCCCATGACAGTACACACTATAGCACTACCATCACGGTCGTGATCAAACACCGTTTCTATGCTTCACGGTTTGTGTCAAGTTTTTCTATCCAGAGCAGATCCATTAAAATACGTACGTACACTTAAATCGATCTACTGCTCCAACCATTTGGATCTTTCTTGATACAAATTTGACCAAATGGTTTATAATACGATATGCGAATCTCGCTCTCCTGACGTCAACTTATTAAACTGGATAAATACGTAGAATTTCTCAGTAGTGAGCCTTACTCAAAGTGAGAAAGCCCTACCACATGACTGCTCTTGATTTTTTTTGACACAATAGTTCCACCATTCCTTTCTATCAATCACAAATGTTCACGAAACTTACGTATTGAATCAGCAAGACGTCATGAATATCGCTTTCGGACTCACTGATACCGGAAAAGTGGTAGCGCTTGGGTCGATCAAATCATTTTAAAAATGGTTTATGGTGACAAAATTTTCAAGCGTGTAGGTGAACAACGATCACTATTTTAACTTAATTACCCTTTTTGAGGAGATCGAAGTTTAACTTTTTTTTTCTGAGCTGCTGGCACACTACTTCCGTTTTCCTTGAATGCACTAAATCCAGCGACAAATTGCTTATAATCAATGAATCCCGATACATTACGGTCCAAATGACGGATAACTTTACGAATTTCCATTTCGGGGAGTCGGTAGAGCTTCAATACTGTTCGAAATTCTTTGTATTCAAGCAACCCGTTGCCATTTGTGTCGATCTTGCGAAACGCTAAGCGTAGATCACGAGTTTGGTGTGCCATCCTCTGAGCAAGTTCGCGTTCTATTTCCAAAATGGATTCAATTTCTTCTGGGTCAGTAATCTCTTCCAAACCAGCAGCTATTGTCCTCATTCCCTCATTTGTCATGCCGGAACTGACTCGCAATGAGTTGAATATTAGCGAGAATTCCTTGAGTGAGATCGTTCCTGATCCATCCGTATCAAGACGTCTAATCAAGGCGGAGATATCTTCGTTCCTGACAATACCGTATCTTGTCATAAAATAATGGAATTCTTCGTGATTCAACTCGCCACTACCATCTTTATCGTACTGGTAAAAGGCCGATTCAATTGAATCGTGACAACTTAACACACGCTTTATCCACTTGATTTGAAGTCCTTGAAGGCGTGCACCTTGAGCATGCTTCGTATCTATCGGCGAGGCAGTTGGACTGATAATAACTTCCGGAGTTGAAGCAGTGAAATTTGCCACTCGCGTCTCATTAAAAGTTTTCGCAAAATCCTTATAGTTGATGCAACCGTCTCCATCAACGCCTAGCTTCTTCATCAGCGCAACAACATCTTCTTCATCTTGAACACCATACAGATTCATTAGTTTCCGAAATTCATCACGGGTAATTTTACCGTCCTTATCATGATCCGCTATATCAAAGACTGATGATAATAGCTCATGCCTAGCTAGCGCCCTGCGAATCCATTTCTCTTCGAGCTTCCGTAATCGAGCAACATTTGCCGATCTATTTGTCGCTTTGGTATCAGATGCTGATGGATTACTGGTCGTACCTAACTTGGCGCCTCGCTTGATCACATGCGGACTCACACGATTCTCACCATTTTTTTGGTATTTACCATCGCGAGCTCCACTTTTTGTAATCTTCCCTTCGTTCTGAGCAAGACCTTTCAAATTCTTCTCTTCGTGGCGAGTAGACTCTCCTTCAATAAGAGCCAAACGTCGGACATCAAAGACTGACAAGAAATCTTGAAGTTTTATCGTTCCAGAATTATTTATGTCCAAACGCTTCAGTAGCATTGATATATGTTCCTTGTCTGTCATCCCGTAGCGGGCCATGAATGCACCTACCTGCTCAAAGTTCAATTTATTTTGGACATCGGGATCAAATTCCCGGAAGGCGCTTTCAATAGAATGATGTCTCTCAAGCACTCGCTCCATGAACTGCATCTCTTGATCCTGTTGCGCCGCTAATCGACCCATTTTATTTATATTCGGACTTACTTGCAAAGTTTGCCTCATCTTTTTGTCAAGTCGTGAGTCATCGAGGCCTATACCTTCAGTGCGGCGGTCAGGTGACTGGCGTAACGAAGTGGTTTTATGAGCTGATCCCCTACTAAGATCGTACACGCGAGTAGATTCTTCAAAGCTACCAGAGTTGATATCATCTTTGTCTTCGGTCCTTCCATTTATATTGTTTGTGGATCCTTGCATCATACGTCCAAATTCGTTTAATTTAGCTTGTCCAAGATAATCTTTGAGCTTTTTGGAAATAGCCACTTCATCGCTATCTGGCGTTCGTGAAGGTTTTTCCGTTTGAGCAAACCCATGTGTAGCTTCTTGCAAGCTTATCGCCCCATTTTCGTCGAATTTGGTTTGAACATGTAATGAGTCGACAGCATCAATTTTCTTAGAATCATACCCATTCAAATGTTGTCGAATGTCATTTAAGTCAGCTTTTCCGTTTTCGTGGAAATTGTACAGGCCATTGAAAGCTTGAGAACGTGGAGGCAAATCAACGGAAGGTTCGACCTGGTCGGAAAATTCTTGGGCAAATCTTGAGTAATTTGTAACCGCCCTCTTATCTCCATCCAGATTTTCATTCATGATATTGATTTTTCTATCAATGCCAACGCTATTTTCATATTGTAGGCGTCGAAGACGGTCCTTCTCCTGTTCCTCCACCCCTTCGCAAACATAATTTGCTGACTTTACGATATTCTCACTATCGAATTTCATAGGCCCACTCTGCTGCTGTTCTAGCCCCCTATTGCTTGGTTCCTGAAAACAAAGTAGACGCTTGATGGTATAGAATTGTATCTTTTCCTCTCCATCAGGATCAATCACTTGCAATAATGCGGAGAGCTCAGCCACCTTTAGCTTGATGCCGATTCCAATCAAAAGTGCCCCAAACTCTTGGTGGTCCAGACTTTTGCTGCCGTCCACGTCAAAGCGATCAAATTCTGCCCGTAATTCAACAAATCCATCAGTTGGCTGCTTCGATCTTCTAAACACGTCTTTAAACTTATTCTGCACGGTCTCTAAGATTTGTTGTATATCTGCCTCCTTACATATTTTTTTATCGTCTCGCCTCGATAAATCTAGTCCAATTTGTCGCTGCATTTTCTGTGCATTTTCGATAGTTGTCAATGATAAAGGCAGTGCTACAGTCTGCGCGGGAGCTATAGAAATCGGTAGAGGTGGTCGGTAAAATAACAGCCCGGAGGCAAATTCGTCGTAGTCAACTGTTCCAGAGTGATCTCGATCAAGGTAGTCAATAATGATTTTAGTTTCGCTTGGTGCAAACCCATACTTTGCCATAAAGCGGTCAAACTCTTCGTAGTCAAGAAAGCCACTTCCATCGCTGTCATATTCCATAAAAATTTCTCGAATCGATTTATCGTGTCCCATGACTCGTTGACGTAATTTTGTGCGTATAGCTTCCATCGGATCCTGTACTGCCAACGTGTCACTGTGAACGGCTACTTTATTTGCTTTTTTATTGCTCAAAACCTTCTTTTGTTCCGGGAATTGAGCGAGTTGCTGTACTTTTTTGGGAGAATTGCTCTTCCTTGACGAATAATTTTGTTCTACACTCAGTAATTCCTCGCCCATGAAAGCGTGAAACGACACACTTTGCTCTTGAACGTCCAAATGATGTAACAACAAGTCTGCGTCAGTGTCTGAGAAATCGTGGTCCCGCACTAAAGCTCGGAATTGCTGCAGTGTCAACACACCAGCTCGTTCTCTGTCATACCGCCGGAAAACATCCTTGACGCTTTTTGTGTCACTGCGGAGAAGTACTCGCTCGAGAAGCTTGCGGTGTAAGTCTCGTGCATGCGTTGGAGTGGAGCCAGCTTGTAGCTTTTCACTGGCTGAAGTCATCACGGTGGACTGAGACAGTTGTGACCGTAGCATACTTGATAAAAAATAGTGCTACTCAATTTAGCACAAGTTGAAGCCAGTGTGCTGGAATTCTGATTACACATCAAAGCAACCATTTCTGATTACTGTCATTGTGTAGATTTTCTCCTGTGACCAGTAAGGAATGAAAAGCGATAAATTCCGACATTCATGTTACAATTTTATTGGTGCTTTATTTTCTGTCAATTCAGATCCACAAAAGCTGCGAAAGGTTGCACAAAACATTGTGTCAACAAAATGGTAGCAGGGGAGACTGCACGCTGGCATCATAAATGGGTTGTCTTTCTACTGGTATTAGGATGGCTATTTCTTTATCGATACCGAGTCATGGGCTACCTACTTTCCAAGGCTATTGCGTATCAACTTTCGAAGTCCCATTTGCGTAATTCCATGGTCTCCCCAATAACTGTTCGAGTGGAACGAGTGTCACTACAACCTTTAAGATTTATGAATATCGAGCTCAGTAGCCGTGGATCAACATGCTGGCGCATCGTGTTGACGAAATTGGAGGTGCAGAGTCATGTCAAGGAGTTTTTCGAATCGTTTGGACATGTAAAAATTTGCATCTTGATTATTGATGAAGTCATTGGAAACGTAGACCAAATAGATGACAAAGTGTTACGAGCTATCCTGATGCCAAACAAAGTGGTGGCGAAGAATGCAGCACAAATGCGCTGTACGTTTGTGAGGATTTGTTCTTTTTGTTGATCTCATGCTTACTTTGTCGTTTTCGTTAGCCAAAGTAAATCCAGTTTGCTATCTTCGTTTTGTTGACTTGAAAATAGTGAACATTCGACTTCGTGTCGACTGCTTGAAGAGTACGACAACATTGCTGTGTCAAGGTCTATACGTTGGAATCATAGACGTATTTGTAGCGCGAGACTTAATGCGATTGAAGGCGCAGGCGAATTCTTTAATTATTCAGAGCGCTCCTCAAGCTGATGGAAGAAATCTGACGAATTGCCAAAGTGACGGTAGTGATGGGCTGCGTGTACAAATTTCTGAAACTTCTGCCGTTTTAAGTCTTGATTTGCGGAACCACAGTTTCCTTGGATGCAAGTTGATTGGATATGACGATCACACAGCAACAATCGTTATGTCAACAGCATATCTAGAGCAAACGCTTGCTGCAAGAAACGAATTGTTTCGAATGGGAGTCGTTGCTGCCAGTGAAGCAATAATGGATCCATTAATCAATGATCCGAGAGATCATAAATTGAGCGCAGCAACTTCATTAGAGGTTGAATTAAACGACTTTCATCTTAGCATTACATTTATGAATGAAGTAGATTTCAGTCAATCCATTCCACTACAACTTCTCGCTGATATTCGCAAGATTTTTTATCGAAAGAAGCCTGAACCGCGGATTGATGTCGGCCTTAGTAATGAACTTCCTACAGATCCAACAACCGATGCGTTAAGAATTCAGGTCGAAGTTTCGGTCCAACGTGTGCAAGTCCGCACTTTAGCCTCAAATCAAAATATATTATCTTTGTGTTGCATCGAAGTACAAGCGAAGCAAACGACAAAAACACGTGGTATACTAATGGGAACAATTGTAGAGGTTAGCATATCGTTGAGCCATCAAACGGATGAATGTCTTCGCTATTTTCTTGCACTTCACGAACGTCTGCATAGAAGTCAGATTGAAGCGAAAGAGACGCTAACCCATACTTTACTGCGACATCAAAGTGACGGGCGACCCGTCTTGCCTAATAAAAGTATTCAAATCTATTGGGAATCTGAAATTAAAGTGACAAAGTGGCTGTTGTCATTCAAAGCTTTTGCGAAAGATGGTGCAACACATGATCTGACAGCTAATGGATCAGCCGCCTCTATTCAAACTCCACTAGCCCCCGTTCTTCGAGAAGATGGTTGTTTGTTTATCAAGCGCTCCATCGTGCTTCAGCGCGTTTCTATCGAAGTCCAGCCGAGTGGATATTCACCACATTTGGCTGTTTTAGAAGATGTAAAGCTGACACAGACTGCATCTGTGGACCCATCAGAAACGACAAAATCACTTGAGACGTCTGCTCATGTCAAATTTGTTTCGATAAACCACTTGCGCTCAGGAAAAAGCGATGAGTTTTGTCGATTTCCAGCACTTTATATAGACGACTTTAAAATCAGTCGATCGATTAAGGAGACGACCGAAAATTTGGAAAAAGATTTGGCTATTTACATGGACAGAGTTGTCATCAAATGGCACTACCAACATCACAGAAATTTTTTAATCGAGTGGGCAGCGATTGAGACAATAGTCAGCCAGCTCGAGTTGTTACTTGTGAAGCCATCGGCAAAAAATCAAAATATGACGAAAATCTTGAGCACAAATATATTCTCGAAATATATAGCAGTAGATGTGACGGAAATTTCGGGCATAGCACCTTTGTCTTCTTTCTGCCTAGTCGAAACCAAATTGAGCCATCGAGCTACGCGACTATGCGCCACTGTTGCATTGAGTTCGACAAACGCAAGTGTCCGTTGGGGTGAAATGCCATCTGTGATCACATTTGTTGAGGCTTCTATCCAGCACAGACACAGTCTCGGGAGGCAACGGTACCTGAGCAAAGTCCCCATTCAAAGCGATATTCGATGCGGCTCAATGAAGATGCACCTTCGTCCAAATAGTCAAATGTTACTACTGGTTATACGCATTGACCAGATGATAGCCACTTCATCTGATAAACATCATGAAGCTAAAGAATCTTCGGCTCACGGCATTTCTTTCGTTTGCGGGACTATTCATATCGATATGGAAGAATCAAACGAATACAATGGTAGTATTGAACTTGATTCGTTTGACGTCAAAATGACGAGATGTACTCCACGTGAAACAACTGAAACGATGGTTCGTTTATTGCAGTGTTTAACGGAAGACGGGCTTGCTGGGCGATCATTTGAAGAAATGGTTCAACAAGTCCAACTACTGGAAGGAACAGTGTCAGCATCAACAATATCAGCTACAACGTCTACGGAAAAACCGATTAAATTACAGAACACTAAAATTAATTTCGCAATCACAGACGTAGAGTGGAGCAGGGTTTTAATATGGGACAAATGGTCGACTTTACCGCGTTCCACAAGCTTTGACGTGAGCATCTTAATTGAAAGGATTGATGTTATGATCGAGAAACAAACCTTCTACTCATTACTACGAGTGCTTCCTATTCTCCAACAAGCTCTAGATACAAAAGGTACACAAACGCACGAAATCACTGAATCGGTATCAAAGCAGCCGAATTTTCTCCAGCGTTTGATCGGACATATAGATATAGCATTCCAATATGCAGATCTCAGCTGTCCACTTGGTGATAAAGACGTTCGAGATCAACGAAGTGGAAGTAAGCTTACGCGTGTGCTAGTAGGTGAGCTGGCGTTCAACTTGCGCCAATTTCAGACATTGGGGTTCAGATGCTCGCCACTACGTGTGATTCTCGAAAGTGCCGACCAGAGAGACTCCGATGATCGATATGCTGGCTCATTGCAAGTACTCTTTGTGCCAAAAATTACTGCTGGTGCAGTGATTCACTGGCAGCATCCAATTCAATGCGTTGGACAGCTTCAATATGCATTGTCTTTAGACATTTCAATCGGACACACAAACGTATATGAGTCACCAGTGTATGTCCCGATAGCGGATGAAGCTCTTATGTCTTTGGACTGGGACTGTGTTGTCCCGTGGTTGGTTGAGATTTTGATTGACGATGCTTGTAACGACCCCATTCAAAGTGCAACCAAGAAGTCTCCAGAGATAAAGCAAACTCGATGTGTGGGGGTGCAATGGGACGTGTCGGTGCAATCTATTCAATTTGTCTGGTGGGATACAATGACGCAGGAGACTGGTATGCTTATTGTCGCGAACGAGTTTCTCACACATGGTGTGGTGAGATTGGATGATCTTTTTGACCTGGAACAAGAAAAGAAAAGTCAGTGGAAACTTTGGGAAACTACAGTGTACCTTCATCTACTCCGAGGATATCTGCTTCACGCTGATGACGACGCTGATATTATCGACAATGATAGTCCAGCGACTTTACCATTTCGATCAGAGATCGCATCCAACTTCTCAATGGAAACAATTGGTACCAGTTATCGGAACGCCTACACACCAAATGCCGACGAAGATTGGGAAACTCTAGACGAACAAGTCACCTCTATGTTTGCACCATCTACAGTCACTCTTTTTGATAAAATGCACGACACCTTTGAGCCGATTGATTATGATTTCAGTATTGCAGACACATTCAATCTGGCAAAGTCAGAGCCTTCCGTCCAAAGACTTCCGATGCTGCATGTTCCACTCTCCATACGTTCGTCATCGTCAACGAGTCCTCGTCTTAAGTCGCCTCGGTCAGACAAGAATTGGATGCAGACTATCAAGAATCGATTATCGCGGCTAAAGCGACGGTCTGCTTCTATGGATAATCTGTTTCTAACAGACGGATCTTGTCCGATTCAAGTCGACGCTATGCGGCTTCTGTGGACGCTTCAAACTCGAGACAGTGTGTTTTACATGGTGTCGACTACTATTAGCAGTCTTCGACTTCTTCTGGACGCAAAGCAATATTCTGGAATTGAAGATGGACAACGCCGAACTGCAAGATCAGCTTCACTCTCACCTTTGCGACGAGCAAAAGGGAGCAGCTCTAGATCTCCATCTTTGGTAGAAACGGGGTTCGAGATCGACCATGATTTCAATGCTAAGATTACTACGCGTGAGAGTCGTCGAGGAAGTGCTCGAGATACGCTATTAGAGTTGCTGCAACAGGGAAAATTGGGTGTGACTCAGGATGTTGACCTATCGTTAATTGTGGATGAAGAAACTGAGTCAGCTCGGGCAACATTTGGTGAAGATGCGAGCGATTGTGATGATTTGAAAGCTACAATTGCGATTAAGGCCTACACTGTTGATATTCACGATGTTCAAATTAATGTTCGTGAGGAAAACACACGAAGTAACGTGTTATTAGCATCAAAGCATATTCACTTTGAGATTGGTACAGATGTGAGTGACATGAACACGATTGCAAATCTTACATTTGACAATGTGACCGCTCACGTGGCTCCTATCGATGTCGACATTTCAGCAGGTGTTTTGTGGTACTCCCATGCAGATGTCGGATCTCCGTCTGCCCCTGGTTCAGCATTGTTAAAGCAAATTATGGAAGAATGCAGTTTGACGAGCTCTTATAATCACGCGGAAAGCACCGGTATCACAAGTACCTTGGTTGATCTGTCCTTTCTAGAGCTTTCTACCGATCGACATCAATTTTACCAGCTCATAAACGTCATTCGACATGTTTTGCTTGCACCTCCTTCCATTGCTAGACGAACAAATCGCACATTTACAACAAGTACAAACTCGATCAACTCGACCCAGCAAGTTGAAGAAAGTGATCTTTCAGATTGGTTACCACCAATCGCCACCACAACTTCGTTGGCGGGTTCGACGTCGATCAAAAAGCTCCACGTACTGCTTGAGGAGGAACTACGAAATCGCGAGATTCGCACGAGAGGCACAATGTCCCGATCAAAATGGGCAATGACAGCAGTGAAAGCAATCACGTTTAAGGTTGTTGGGATGCAGTGGAAATTGCGACTGAGTCCCGAGCTCACCGATGCTGATCACGAGTTTGTAGGAATTCGTATCCAAGGCTTCACCGGATGTCATTCGTATTTTACAAACCACTGTACAAAGCTCACATTAAATCTTCAGTGGCTTGAGATCATCAATCTTCATCCAGGTCCTTCATCTGCTGCTTTCAAGGACTCGTCTGCAGTCCTAAAGGCCAAGCTGCTGGTCGATAAACGGTTTGAGAGTGCAGCTACAGGGATCCAAAAAGGAATGCTTGTAGTTCGCGCGGAAAGTGGCCCCATTGTACGAATTTATGGGCAAAAATTACGTGTTCTGGAACTTCTTGAAGTCAGTATGTTTCCAGAAGTAGCCAACATTATTGTCATCCAGCTCGCCGCCGACTTTTACGAACTTATTTACAAATTTTTTTTTGAAAATATTACGCCAGCTTCTGCCAGCAGTCAGAATACAGAGCTCTTTTTCGGTCAAAAGTCTACTTTTGGTCCCGTTACATCGAGCAGTATGTCTTCACTTAGTCAAAAAGGAGCCACTTCTCCCTTTGCTAAGTCACGAGCACCGCAAAGCATATCTTCCTCTCAGAATACATTTAATACGCTACGAAAGAGCAACTCAGCCGGACCGACCAACAGCATGCAAACAGAAAGTAGCACTCTTAGTACGGCACAGACATCACTCGAAGAAGTACTTGATGTAAGTGAATCAGCTGCTACGGATGACTTTGAGTTGTTTTATGTCAAATACGTCCGGGTGGGAAATGTTCGTCTACAAATCAACTGCAATGGCTTTTTCGTTAACCTAAGTCACTTCGATCTGGAGCTGCCACCTTATGTTTGTCAAAGCAAACTTTGTACAAGTAAAAAACTCCTTCAAAAGTTTGAATCTCATTTGAAATGGTACATTACCAAAGAAAGCGCATCGTCAGGGCTTTCTCAATTCAAAAACAAACTACTTAAGTGGACACCGTCGTCTTCGTTAGCAGACGGGAAGAAAGACAAAAGTAACAAGAGACAAGAGGAAGATACGGCAGCAGCAAACGCCCAAGTGTTGTTTGGTCCCTACTCTGGGACATGAAAATTTGGTGATGTAGTGCCTTAAAAGAGATCTGCCACAACGCTTTGTCGTACCAATTTAGCAAAGTGACGCCGTATCTATGAAATGCTATCGATGCATTGCTTGATGCGCTGAAGAAAGTGAAATGCCCCAGTGTCTCGAGGCTGACGAGCACAAATTTTACAACTCAGTTTCCATGAAATATTGCCAAATGAGGGTTTAAAATTGACTACCTCAGTAAGCCCGCTGTCTTTGCGAGTCTGCATCACCTCAATAAACTCTTTTGTCGACAAATATCCATCACCTGTTGCCATAAGAGTCGTCAATATTGTAATTTTGAGAGCTGAGTGTAAAAAGGTAATAAAGCTACATACCGTTCAAATCAAAGAGCGTGAACAAAATGTCAATTAGCAGAGGAGTAACGGGTCTCGTGTTCTTGCTTGCACGCACGGCAGCTCTTGTAGCCCGCTGAAATTGTTCTTTAGCGATTATTGTACATGTTGTAAAAAACCCAAGTTTCCAATCTATAAATTACAAATTGCAATGAGGTACCTTTATTCACACCATGAGCTTGCATCACGAGGTCCATAGCCACTTTGAGTTCGTCCAGGTGCTCAAGAAAAATGTTGAAATCCATAAATTCCTGTTCTGTGATGCATCCCTTCAAAAAATATCGCAGTTTCGTTATCTAGAACTTGTTCTTTTACTTTGAAGTGATTGCAACGAACACTCAAATGCAGCAACAAGTCCACGCGCTCAATCCACTTTTCAATGTGACGCTAGGAATACAAACCGAGCACAAAAATTAGTCGAATTAAGCACTTATACAGACACACATTATCAAACCTGGTCAACATGCGAGACTAAGAACATGCCAAATTCACGAGGCGAAAGCGTCTTGTTGCCATCAACATCATACTGCTCAAAGTAGACGTTTGTAAAGGAAAACTTTTGAAAATATCAAATGAAATCCTAAAATGGCATATACAATTCAGTAAAAAGGATATTTGAATGCGCATGATCTCCTGCTTCAATTGAAGACGAAACGAGCAGAAATCGTCGTATGATAAAGACTTTGTGGCAAATTTGCCAAAAAGATGCTGAAAAATCGGCACCTCATCGTCATGAAGTCTCCGATCTTGTCGACCCGCAGGTGTGCGCAGTCGCATCAGTGCCATGATCTATCACACATATAGAAAGCTTTCTAAGAAGTCTCCTGGCGCCATAAAATAATTATATTTGTTTACCTGTTTGAACTCTCGATGATCCAGTTTACCGTTATCATCTGTATCAAACATCTTAAATGCCAGCTCAAACTGCCGCTCCGGAACTTAACATATCATCTATTAAAATTGTACATATTACTTATGAACAAAGGATCCTCACTCGCAAGCAATGTTCTCAAGAACATGAATTCAGCGTAATTAATCAGGCCATCACCATCCGCATCAACCATATCAAAAAATGTTTTAGGACGCTGGGGACCACCGTGCATTGCCACGAATTGTTCGAACTCTGCGTTTGTGACTTGAAGAGTCTTCAGCGTCTTGATGTGCGTTTCAAAGTCTACGGACTTTACTTCTTTGAATTTAAGCAATTCTTTAACTTCCTCAACTGATGCATTGGTATTGTCGATCAAGAGCTTTTGTACACGTCGCAAATATTCGTCCGAAATGTCTTTTGAGCACTTCGTGTTGCTCGCCTTGGCATTAAATTTTGGGTTTTTCGAGGCGATTGGAGCCCCATGACGATATGTGTAAGGCGTCACAGCTCGTGCAAGATCATCTCTAGTCATATAGTACTCTTTATCGAGCTTAACACTCGAAAAGTACTCAAATACGCGCTCAGGGGAACTGAACTTACGTAATCGATTCTCATAACTGCCCACAGTGCGCTCCGTAAAAGTCGGTTTGTCATCGATGGTGGCTTCTAGACGAGAAGTAGACCAGCTGCATGCTGCGGAAGAGCTGGCTGCTGCTGCAATGGCTGCAACTGCTGATGACGAACGCACTGAGCGTAGTAGTAAGCGAGACATGACCTTGACCACTTTTATGACAAAATTCAACTCTCAGTTTTAAGAATGAAAATGCGATATTTTGAAATTTGTTTAGGGCTTTTTTATGAAAACATAAACATCAGCATTCATGTTGCTGTGGATACATAATTTGCACATTCCAAATGGGGGGAAGGAACGTTGGAGTCAGTACCGCAATTGTACTAGGAGACAGCGACACAAATGGTAAGCTAACGAGAGCCTTCGCTAGTCGTATCACTTTTAGTCGATCAAATAAACAATTTGCTCCGAGCAAAAAAGTGTAAAATTCTGCCCCAATTCTTGAAACATTGACACATCCAATATCGAGCATAATTCGCAAATTATGATACCTTCACGAAGTCATGGCTTCCTCATTCAATCCTATTTCATCTTGAACAGTCTTAACGCACAGTCGTTTGTGCAGCTTCCACGCTGCTTTCTGGCAAGCCCGCGAGCAGTACATTACATCTCGGCATTTTGAACACTTTGCTAAATTTGTACTCGGAGCGTGGCAATTATCGCAGGTCGTACCATTGGTCATCTTAAGCCAGAACATCGTGTCTTCCTCACTTGGGTGAGTCACCCCATTCGGATCGTTTTCTTCATGACAGAACACGCTCTCGCATGGAGCATAGAATTCCCACTTTTCGGTGTGGTGCATGAGATTCTGGCCAACACATCCAAATCTACTCATCAATGAATCTAGTTTTCTCGACTTGTCTTCTTTATATTCGTTACTTAAATTCTTCGTGCTTGCAGGAACAAATTCCACCGCAAATTGAGCCACGGATCCATAGTCTGCCTTTTTCGCGATCGAAGATAACTCTTGCGAAATAGCAAAATCACTGAGACTTCGCCTATGCTCAGCTTCTTCAGTCTTCGGGCGAGGTAAAAATTCCGCGTCACCCAATAACAAGCAGAACATTGGCTTGTCATTGGCTGGCAAAGTCTTTGCGTGTTCCACTACCACTTGAAATGACTTATATTGATTACACTCGCTATCTTGATCACCTGGAGGAGCTACGTATAGGAAGACCAAGTCTGCTTCCGTTAGAGTAGACACAATGTCAAATCCCATCAACTCACAAGCCTTGATCAACTGTTCTTGAAATGCTGGGAAACCATTACCCTCGATAAAGACCTTATTACGTGGTTTTAAGACGCCAGATTTTAATGTGTGATTGTAAGCCTCCATCCAAACAGCGTATTGGTATAGCAGTCGACAGCCAATGCCAGTGATGCGGTGTGCTGCCTGCCGAAACTCAACTTCTTTCCTGTTCAGAATAAAACATTAGACAGGCGGCAAGAACATTGCGACAACAGTACAAGTCCTATAGACTCGCACCAGGCGTAATCGTAGCGCATGAACACATTGGAGGCTATAAGACGCTCGCGCCACGGCGCCAGTGCAGAGGGTGGTGCTTCTTTCATTTGGTGTTAAATCGATTATTCGAGAAGCGATTCTGAATTTCGAGACATGCTGAAACAGTCAACTTTGTGAGACACTGAAGAGATGATTGTACGCGATGTCAACCGAACTAAATACTTTTGAAAGATATAAATAGACGTCGCCCCACCTATTGATTTGCAGCATCTGTAAAACAACCGTTGACAGCTTAAAGCTAATCCTGTTGAGGTGGTCATTTTTTAATTATCTACGTGTATTAAACAGACTTTGTTGGTAAAGATCAATGCGTTGCTTCAACAACGGAGGCGTGTGCGGCCTCAACACCCAGGCAGGTTATCTTTTTGAACGTAGTCAGGACACAATGCGACAACGCAGCTTTGGTCGCGCCCGGGGCATCACGGGCACTCCAGTCAAACGGTCTCGTGATCAGTCCAGTGACAGTGACGAGGGAGCTCCGCATTTCACAGGGCTGAGACACAATCGGCGTGCAGTACTGGATGGATTAAAGCGAATGAGAGTATCGTCACCCTCCGATTCACCCAGAAGCGACGTTGATGCGAATATGACGGACGAAGAGGCTGCAACTGCTAGAAGCACCTGGCGAGCAAACAAAGCGATCGTTCCTGCAGCCCCTGAAGCAGGAAAAAAGAGACCGTTAGCATTTTCCACATCAATTGGCGTACGACATCCGTGGAAAATGATGCGTCAAGGGGATTGTATGGGTGATGAACCACCAATCGAAATTCCAAGCGACGCTTCTTGTCGTGCTATGGTATTATTCGATCCCTATCAGTCGTTTCCTCTATCACCAGTTCCTCGAGTCGAACTTGTGGAAGACGACAAGTTTACGGAAACTGATGTGTCAGAGAGTGAGGACGAACGTTTCGTGCGGTTTGAAGAGTTAACAGAAGATAACGACGAGCCTGTGGACATGGAAATGGATTGAAGCGCTAGACGTACGTGTTGCTCCCTCGAAACTAATTTACAAAACCCTTTTCAAAGCTGAAGACTAGCACATCTGTCGTCCACGCAAGTCTGGTAATTTATTTAGCAACTTAGTAGCTCATGAGCTAATTTTTCAAGTCATGACAGAAATTTCTCTAAAACTTCATACCGTGTTTTTTAGCTTAAGATAAACGCCATAGCTGCGCGTAATTGACGTGAACAACGATAATTTCTCTACAGATCGTTCTCTCCTGAGTCTACATCGCCTAACGCATTCTGGATGAAGTAGGAGACCAGATAATTTCGCGACACGCCTGCTTGCGGCATGGAATTTCTATTGCTGGTATTTTAATACTAAAGGCGCTCATTTATTTTTGATGTGCAACAACACTATTTAGAGGTGCTATTACTCTGTTAAAAATATGCTTCTTTTACTGGGTAAGTTTATATCTTTATTAGAAATAGAGCGCGCGAAGGTCTTGTGACAATGTGGCGTTTAAAAAAGTGTACTGCAGCCGCCAAGCTCTTCAAAATTAACTTGCGCGCTTTGTCAGTGTAAGCTGATAAACCGACGAAGTCAGGAGGATTTGTCTCGTTCTGCAAGCATCTCTAAGGAGCTACGAGAGCAAGACAACAAGTAGAGACTACCGACCATAACATTACTGACCCTTTAGTGTTCGATGAGATTTTGCAATGAGCTGCATGTTAGAGCCAGACAAAGTGGCTCGAGACAGCTGTACTTCGTGAAATGAGGTCCAATCAATACCTATCAGAATGCTGCCACGTATTATTCTGCTCCAATATTAGTTGAGATTCTGCGTCAAATGGTGATGTGCTCCGATGTTATCTTACGTCTTGCACAGAAGTAGCATCCACGGTTCGATTTGACCTTGGAATTTGCAAACGAGCAATTTGAGCACTGTGAACCAGCTCTAGTTTATATAGGAATGTGTCGAAATTTGTAGTCATCCTCATTGACAAGTGTCTTGTCTGAAAAATCGGGCACGGTGTGCGTAGCTCACGCAAATGTGAGCGTAATTATCGTGGATATTTAGCCTCGGTAATGCTTTGCTGAACTAAACAACAGGGCGGTGTAACTTGTGCAGAAGGTGAATGGGGCCGGGGCTTCGTAAGTTACTCGAGTCATTCTCATAATAGAACACATCGCCCTTCTCACCGCGGTCGCACAGGGATGTGTCCTTTTGAGCCGTTTAGCGCCAAGGGAATCGTCGAGGGTGAAGATTTGGTGCTTGTAGATCTCATACTGAAGTGAATTCATTTGGATTCGGGACAATACTTCCGGTATGCAGGGTAAACTGAATCTTGCTCTTGTGTTCTACATAGAGCACATTTTCCCCTCGAAAGCCCGGTGGAAAAAGTTCTTGGTACGGGCACGAGTCACTGAAATAGTAGAATGTTGATTTATGTACTGTTAACATCGCCTTTGAAAGAGATATCCATATTCAAAAGTGCTCTCCTCGCAAAGTTTTCAAGAGCGCCACAAAAGTTATGACCGTCGGTCGCCGTTCCAAATCATCTTCAATTTATTACATCATGCTGTGATGCAT